AGAACCTTATCCCCTTAGGATGAACCCGGTTATTTGAAATCCGAGACAAGGTGGCCGATTAAATTTTATGTACCTTTCAAGACGAATATCTCTGACTACACATTTTTTTATACAATGCTATGGATGCGTATAAATTGTTTGAGTGTTAAAAATAATTGTAATATATATATATATCCATACATATATATATATTACATATATTCATTTTAAAGTAAAATAATAATTAAGATAAAAGAGTTCCATTATGACATTTCATAATATGCTAGCCATCTTGCAGCCGCTGCAGCACGAATGGAGTACACTTGGTTCAAACAAACACGTTACAAACGCTTTCACAGAATACCATCGTAAAAATGGGGTATGGTGAGTGAAGAAAACCTTTTTTTCGTGAAACATTAAAATTAAACCACTTTTTTATCCACTCATCATCAAGTGGATTGTGTCCATCCATTGTCACCCACAAACAAGGATATTTATACTTATTTGCGAAGCTACACGATTATTAGAAATTTCTCTCAGAAATTGGTTCGGTTACAGAACATAAATACGTTATACCAACCCAACCTCGACCGTAACCTACTTATTTAATACAAACTCTCTTCGCGAATTTAATATATAAATTAAACATTCCTGGCGTTGAAACTATTAATCGTATATTGGTGATATAGGTTGCTTCCCGCTATCTGAAATTAATCTTATCTTTAAGTAAACAGTTGGGAGCCTACTTAGCTACTATGGCAAGTGATCTCTTTACAGTTTCGATCTACGTCGATAGCACTGATATTATCACCAGCAATTGTTGGTGCAAAGTAGAGTGCGAAGCTCAGGGGCTACACGTTTGTCGTTAATTTCATAGTAAGCGAGCAACATGGGTTAGATTCCCACCCACACCGATGAAATTCACCACGAGCTCTCCGGTATAGGAAAACATCGTGAGGAAATTTGCATGATTGGGAAATAAAAACAAAAAAAATATATAGAGACTAACGCAACACGCATTGGGGTAGTGCGGAAAACCTCACAGAAATGAGAGACCTGTTCCCAGCAGTGGGACGTATATATGCTGTATCTTTAACATTTAACTTTTAATTTTAATTGATGATTCTCTTTAATAATATAAAGCTTGCTTGTTTGAAAATTGGTAAATAATGTCGAGGTCATGTGAAATCTGCCAAAGCACATTGGGACATCGCGGTAGACTCTAGCACATTTTTTTAGAAATAAATTAGACCTGCGTCCATCTGTAAAATATATCTATATAGGCTTTTACTTTAATGTAAAATGTTGATAACATTACTTTAATTATAATATAAAAAATATATTTAGGGTGTTGATATTCTCATGTTTCAAAATATATGTTAAGATATGGAAATGTGAACAATAATACTTCGCAGTATCCTATAAGTAATTACAAGGTCAAATAAACCAGAGTATAAGTGACAATTTAAATCGGTCGTTCGTCTCATACAATAACCAACACCTACACAGTTCAATTCGACTTAAAATATATTACATAAGGTCAACATAGTTTTCCCCTAAATATTTCCTCTTAGGAAGGATTTTGCCATAGTTGCCACGCTTCTCATGCGGGTTGGCTAGCGCAGTTTTTTATAATTATAAGTTTTTATCAGGAAAATGTTGTTTCCCATCTCCTATTTGCCTTTCCCTTTGTCGCATTTTACTTACACCCTTAGGTATATATTGGGTTAGTCTTACACGTCGCGACTACACGGGACTTAAAATAAGGCATTGAAATGAGAGCGAGTCACGTACAGTTAATTTTTTTTTCCTAAATCCATTCATAAGGTTTTCTCTACAGACTACCGACGTTAGTATTATGCTGATGGTCTGCTAATGACTCGTAGCCCCTATGCTATCCTTGAACTGACAGTGCGCGCGTTATGAACTCGTAATCAATGTGTTTTCCGCGTACTGTCAGCACTGGTCAACCGTGGTATCGTTCGCGTATCGATCTTCATCCATTAACGGCACGCGGTCAACTAGTATAATTATTAATATTTAAGTGAGCTAGTAAGTCGTTTTCGCCAAACCGAAGGTTGATTAGGGACGGTGGTGGTCATTTTATGGTTGGTCATTTGATTTAATTATTGTCGCATTTTACATATGCCGAGCACGTGGTAAATCAGCACTTAAAATTGCAATCAACAATTTCATTGGTGCCAGCGGAGATCGAACCCGGGTTGCTCGAGTACTCTGAAGTTTACAGCGAGCGCTAACCATCTGAGCTACCACGGCACTTTACCACGTGCTCGGCGGTGAAGGAAAACATCGTGAGGAAACTTGCATGTCTGAGAAATAAGAAAAAAATATTTTCGAAGACATGTGAAGTTCGCCAACACGCATTGGGGCAGCGCGGTGGACATTTCCTTGCCCTAAAACCCTCTCAGAAATGAGAGGAGGCCTGTGCCTAGCAGTGGGTCGTAAATAGGCTGTAACTTTACTTTACTTTACTTTACATTTGCCACCATTATACTGGGATTTGGTTTCTACTAACACTTTTTTTTTCTTTCACTATAACAACAGCATGGTAATAACTGGATCAATTTGACATTTTAAATCAACATATTCAAAGTCGGCCTTTTTATATCTCTTTCTGGAACCTTATGCGCTAATTAGCGTATATTGCTGGAAAAAAAACCACTTATTCTCAACACTCGCGCAGATATGATATTGCCGAAAAAATATAAGGCTTCTCTTCTTTATTAGTCTATGGGACTTAATCTCGAAACATTTAAGATAGAGAGATTTTTAAATTATTACAGAATGTAATAAAAATGATTGGCAAACACCGTGTAATGGCGGCGTAAGAGGATCCACTTCCCCATATCGTACATAACAGACGTCGTAACAACTGCGGCTTATTTAACAAGAGATAGGCAGCAGCGCCTTCCTAATAACAACTCAATATAATATAAAAAATGCGGTCACGATACACCTGTCAAGCGTGGCAACCATAACAAATATTCATTTACGAGTTAATGTATGGGAGAGACCTATTTTCAGCAGTGGACTTTTTATAGGCTGTAATATATGATTGAAAATAGGTTTTACTTTCATGTTAATGTATTTAAAAATATAGAACCTCGCTTGCATTGAATAACAGCATGATATAGCAGCATAATGTTGCTGTGTTTCTTATGGTGAGTATAGAGAAGCGGAGATCCATTTACTGGTAACGCATTTCACATTAATCCTCTGTGGTGACGACGCATCTACATTTTGATTCTTGATCGAGGATAACTGTAGGTGTCCATTTGCCACAGCATTCACTAGTCATTAGGTCGAATGTGTGCCCGTTTGTCACCCTTCCTTCTTTATATAAAAATAACTAGGAAGATATTTTTAACGAAATAATCAATGAACTGAGAGTTCTTTAGTAAGTTTGCAACTAATTAGATTTCGCGTCTTTCACAGAGTTAATAAGCTTAGTACGTCGGAAAAATCAAGAAAGTTTGGTTTTTCTTAGAACATCACAGGAATATTTCGTTTTGAATTTTTGCGACCGGGCGATACTGTTGGAAAGTGACCTTGTACACCCTTGACTCGTAATAGGCAGCGTACAGATAGTGTCACAACAGGTTTTACGACCGAATTTGTTACCGCCTCTAGGAAATGTTCACATTTTATTAATCCGCAATTTCGAGTCTGAAGGGACAAAAATATTTTCTGTGTTAAATATATGCTTTCTACTGGCAACAAAATTTATTAACTTCACAAGTAGCCGACTATGGTCTGGGAATTTCCGACAATTTCAATGTCCCGGGACACGGGAAAGCCTATAATCAAAATCCCGGGAATTGCCGGGACTTCAGGACTTTTAAGAAAATCTTTTTTGTTTTTTTTAAGATGGGGACTTTTTTGGAGAATTTTAATTGAGTTAATTTCTAATGAAACGTAGAGGCAGTTTTTTGTAAAAATCAACATTTATTAAACAATTAAACAGAAAATTAAATAATTTTAACGTTAATTTCAGTCTTAATAATCGCTTCGTTTATTTCTTTTAGTCACACACAGATGCACTTCTAAACAGTTAAATCTTATAGTTATGAAACGAACTTAGTTAAAAATCATACTAATTCTTAATAACTTTACTATTATCTAGTAATTCTATTATCTAATCATTTTTCTCTTCATAATCTCATTGTTAATTCTCATAATCACATATTTGTTTAATTTATTGTGTTGCGTACTCAGTAGTTGCGTAGTAGAAAAAGTTATTATTCATTAAACTAGTACATGACGCTAGGCTCCTTCAATTATTTGAAAATAAAAATGATTACATAACAATTTTGACAATCTTGTCTCGTCTCGAGTGTCGACCCGAAAGTCCCGGGACTCGAGACAACTAAAATTACGAAAAGTCCCGGGACTTCGAGACACGAGACGTCCCGGGACCAAAACCCTATAGCCGACACAGCGCAGGACTTATCTACATAGTTTTAAAGTTTACTGACGAATTAATCTCGTTACAATTTTATTATAAAACCGCATTTGCTCGGCGTAAAGGAAGCGTAGGGAGGACACTTGCATGTCTCATACACGTAATGTAGCACTGTACCCTGCCTTGTAGCTAAAATTCGTCAAAATGAGAGGAAACCAGTGCCCAACAGTAGAACCCATACAGCCTTATTAATAAACATAGACTTGAGCAAGATTAACTTTACTCCTAGTTTAAAGTTTAAATTTAACTAATTTTATTATTAATAAACATAGAGTAAGGAGGGAACTAATCCGAATAAAAGTTAATCCTTGGCGATACATAGTTTAACGACGGAGTAAGCATAGTGATTAGGCGCGTATTTTGACATTTTGTAAAACTTTACGCACGTTGTAGCTGCCTAAGTTCGTATTTCGTTATTTCCATTAATATTTGTTACTTTAGTTCATTGTCAACAACCTCAAGATGGATAGAGATTATTTCATTGATGATATGAGAGTGACAGATGAAATTAATAAAGTGGTTCATCAGTTTTCCATTAATGAGACGTGTAAAATTTTATAAAATTCGTAAGAATCCACTGGAAGAACTTCAAGAAGCCGAATTTAAAATTAAATACAGATATTCTCGCGGCACTGCCGTTTTCCTTATTGACATGGTAAAAATTAATTTGGCCGGTGATTCAAGAGGTGGATTTATACCACCCCATCTGAAAGTTTTGACTGCCATAAGAACATGGGCCCGTGGAGAGGTAATGACTATGTACCTATTATCATTTTTATAGGTCTTTACCTTCATTTACATTAACATCTCCCATTATCAATAATTATGACAATTAAGTGTATAATTATTAGTTGTTATGATTTCTAATTCAATTACTTTTGTTCTCAACAGATACAAGATGATGCAGGAGATCTAAGTGGAATGAGTCACCCAACAATATCACTTGTATGCAAACAAGTTGCTTTAGCACTGGTAGCACAAAGAGCACAGTGGATTAAAATGCCACAAAGTGATGTGGAGGAGATCCATGTGATTGCAGGTTTTTATTCAGTATGTGGATTTAGACAAGTGATAGGGGCTATTGATTGCACACATATTCGAATCCCGAAAGTCGGTGGAAATATCGGACAATACTGCATAAACAGGAAAGGATACAGTTCAATGAATGTACAAGTAAGTTTTATAATACCTAGCTAGCCTATGTTTGCCATATAGTTACCTAGTTATATCTTAGACGGATTCAGTATAACTTCGTTAATCTATTATTATTATTTTTTTTATAGGAGAGGGGGCAAACTTGCATGCGGGTCACCTGATGGTAAGTGACTACCTCCGCCCATGAACAACCGCAACACCAGGGGAATTGCAGATGCGTTGCCGGCCTTTTTAAAAAGAGTAGGCTCTATTCTTGAAGGTCCCTAAGTCGTATCGGTCCGGAAAAATCGCTGGTGGTAAACTATTCCACAAGTAAGTTGTTCGAGGAAGAAAACATCTTCTAAATCGCACAGTGGTGGGCCGCCAATCATCCAGATGGTGTGGATGGTATCGGGAGTTCTGCCGGCGTTGCGAAGAGATGCAACATCTCTTCGCAACGCCAATGAGTCGAGCCGATCGGAAAGGACTCGGTCGTCGACGATTCGAGCCGCTCTGCGCTGGATGCCGTCATATATTTCATATTAACAAAGCTGTGAGTACTTTGTTCCAGGTTGTGTCAAATGTTAATTTAGAGATCATGGATATAGTGGTACATTGGCGAGGCAGCACACATGACTCAAGAATATTTAATGAAAGTCGCAAAAAACAAAGGTTTGAGCAGTCAGAATTTAAAGGCAGGCTTCTGGGAGATCCTGGTTATGCTTGTACTCCTTATTTATTCACTCCTATCCTACGTCCCAATACACAAAAGGAAGAAATGTACAACCGGTCGCACATCAGGACCCGAAACACTGTAGAACGATGCTTTGGAGTGTAGAAGCAAAGGTTTTGGTGTTTACAGCTAGGACTTAATACAAAATTAGCGAATACAAAACTATATATTATTGCATTGGCAATACTGCACAACATTGCAATGCATAAGCAAGATCTGCTTGAGGATGCTGTAGAAGATGATGGAAATGTTCCAGTCACATAATTAGTAAATAACTCCCTAAGAGGAAATTCAGTACGGGCAGCATTTATTAATGTAAATTTTTAAAATAAATAATACAATATACAAAATAAAAATGAAAAAACATTTCACCGTCAAAAGCTATGTGTGTATATTTAACTTGTTTTATTTTGTTATTTAGAGGCCAATTCTGGCTTACAAATTTCAACAAAAAGATAAGTAAATATATAAGACAGTTATTATAATAATAATTTTTGATTCCAGACATAATACTCATTTATAAAGGTAAATATTTCTGCTGCGTCATTGTAAACTGTCAAAGCATCATGACTACATACAATTTTTATTAATATGGAATAAATCCAGGGAAGTAATGTGATAATATTTCATGTATTTTTTTTAGAGTAAGGTTGACAAACGAGCACACAGTCCACCTGATGGTAAGTGGTTGCTGTGGCGCATAGACATTAACATCTATCTTCGATTAAGAATCAAAATGCAGATGCGTTGTCACCCATGAGGACTAAGATGGAATGCCTCGTTTCCAGTAAAAAGGGTCTCCAGTTTTCTACACTCACCATACGAAACACAGCAGCGTTAAGCTACTATTTTACGCTGGTATTCTGTGAGAGCGTGGTCCTTCCCCGGTCGAGCCGACCCATTCGTGCTACAACCATAATATAGCTGCGGCATGGCTCTACCATGTATAGAGTTAAGTATTTTTATTTAGGCCGTAAATGATTGTTTCAGGGAAAGGTGCAGGGTACAGCACATTTCAAGTCAAAATGAAGCTATGTAATATAAAAACTTTTCAGTGCTTTATTAAACTTTATTAAACTAAGTTTGTATAAAAAGGGTAATTATAATATTAAAGAATTTATGGATGATAATAACTCCTGGAAATGAAGTGATCGCTACCAAGCTATTTCTAATTTGTTGTGTTGTTAATTTGTGTAACATACGTGATTGTAAGCTGTTATTTAAAAAAAGTCCCGCAGGGTTTCTTGCTAGTTCTTCCCAGGACAGAGGTTTTTTTTCGAACCAGTGGTAAACAAACAAAAGAGTGACTTTCATCATCATCATCATTACAGCCTTTCATAAGTCCACTGCTGAACATAGGCCTCCCCCAAGGAATACCACAGAAGGAACAGGAAGGCGACAGAGAGGAACTGAATAAGGAATAATATTAAAAAACTGCAGTTTGTCAAGTTGCATAGTCGCTATGCTTGACAGGCCAAGCAGCCTGTCAAGCATAGCGACTATGCAAAATCAGGTTAGTATACAGATATACAATTTTTGCCACAATAATAACTGTATTTCATGCAAGACGAGAACAAGACGTTTATTGTACGGTAGTGTTTGTAGTCTGTAACCAAAAAATGTTCCTACATGAGTTCCTGGGTAATTTGGCTCTAACTGTTGGCAAGTTTCCAATAAAAAGATTGTTACTGTCATATCCATTGTGAAACGCCACACAAAGTGTTGTTATGTAACGACATTGTTTTAGATTTTCGTCATATAGATTTTATTTGAATTTTATTAGATGATGTAACTCAATTAATCCAGGGTAGTAAAATTTTTAATTTATTTGGTACATCAACCAGTTACAAATATAAAAAATGACGTCGCTTTAAGAAATGCTTAAATTTGCTCTCTTTCTCTTTTCACTAAATGACAATAGTAACAAACAGATATAGAGATAATTAAGATTAAATAAGCGATCATGCTGCAAGCTGAACACAGGCCTCCCCAAGGCCACAAAGCACGGTCCTGAGCCACCTGCATCCATCGACTTCCTTCATGTCTTACCAGGTCGTCACTCCATCTCGTGGGGGCACGCCCTACACTTCGCCTACCGGTACGAGGCTGCCTTTTACTACAGAACCTTTGTTCCCCATCGGTTGTCGGTTCTTCGAGCTATATGGCCGGCCCACTGCCACTTCAGCTTACTAATCCGTTGGGCTATGTCGGTCACTCTGGTTCTACTGCGGATATACTCATTTCTAAGTTTATCACACAGAGAAACCCCGAGCATAGCCCTCTCCATAGCTCGCTGAGCGACCTTGAGCTTCCTAATACGGCCAGCAGTGAAGGACCACGTCTCAGATCCGGAAGTCATCACTGGCAACACGCACTGATTGTACAATTTCGTTTTAAGGTTTTGAGGTATGTCTGACGAGAGGATGTGTCGTAGTTTCCCGAACGCTGCCCAGCCGAGTTGAATCGATTGACCTCTCGATCGAAGTTGGACTTACCTAGTCGGACTATTTGTCCCAGGTAAACATACTCGTCAAGAACTTCGAGCTTAATGCTCCCAACAACTACCGGCATAGGTGTGACATGGACGTCAAACAAGATTTTGTTTTGTCCATGTTCATCCTAGACCTATTCGTTGGGAGACACTATTGAGGTCATTGAGCATGGTACTTAGGTCCTCCAGCGACACTGCCATAAGCACTATATCGTCGGCAAATCGAAGGTGAGTGATGTACTCGCCATTGATGTTAATACCGTATCCTTTCCAGTCCAGAAGCTTGAAAACGTCTTCTAATGCAGCGGTGAAGAGTTTCGGGGATATAACGTCACCCTGTCTTACACCTCTCTGCAATTGTTTTCGTACTCTGGTTCTGTACTCGGATAGCCATCGTAGCTCTACTGTACAAACACTTAAGCACTTCGATAAAACGACAGTCAACTTGGCATCGGTGAATGGACTGCAGCACCGCCCGAGTTTCGACGGAATCAAAGACTTTCTCATAGTCCACATATGCCAGACATAGTGGCAAATTGTACTCTTCGAACTTCTGTAAAATTTGCTGTAGGGTATGTATGTGGTCTATGGTGCTAAAGCCCTTTCGGAAACCGGCTTGTTCGGGAGGCTGGAAGCCGTTAAGTCTGCGCGCGAGACGATTCGTAATGACTCTCGAATACAGCACGTAGATGCTGCTCAGAAGGGAAATCGGTCTGTAGTTCTTCAAGAGAGCGTTGTCACCTTTCTTGAAGAACAAAACCACCGCACTTTTGCTCCACGCCTTCGGTAAAATGCCACCATGGAGGATGAAATTAAAGAGCTTCTGAAGGACTTCAAGTACCGGTTTTCCACCCGCTTTCAGAAGCTCCGCTGTAATTCTATCCTCGCCTGGGGCCTTGCCGTTTTTAAGGTGCTGGAGAGCCATTCTAATCTCGCTCAGACTGACGTCCGGGATATCTTCGGAATAGCGTCAGATAAGACTCACTCTTGGATCGTTACTCACACTTGCGTGTGGCTCCAACGATGACGTGTAAAGCTGCCCATAGAACCTCTCAATCTCACTCAAAATCTCAGGTGTCCCAGAAACGATGCTGCCACACTCGATCTTCAGCTTTGAAAGTTGACTCTTTCTGGCAGACAGATCTCTGGCAAAGACTTTGGAGCCCTGGTTCCGCTCGTTCGCTTCTTCAATACAAGCTGTATTGAAGTTGCGTAAGTCCCGCCGCATGCATTTGGAGATCGGTCTGTTCAGTTGCCTGTATGCTGTCAAATCCGTTGAAGAATGTAGCTTCATCTCCCGTCTAACAGCCATGAGATTAAGAGTGTGATCGGAGAGTTTTTGTGTTCTTCTGCGGCAGGTCTTGCAGAACTTAGCTCCGACCGTATGGGCAGTTTCCACGAGCTTGTCATTTATATCGTCCACTTCATTGCAGTCTTCTAGGCACTGAAAACGGTTTTGTAACTTGAGCTGAAACGGTTCGGGACTCTGGAACAGAACACGAGGGGGACGGAGCGTTGACTTCATTAGACGAGACCTCTGCAACTTAACGTTTAGGTTCAGTGTGCCTCTAACCATTCGGTGATCGCTACCAGTTTTCACCCTCGCGATCACGGAGACATCACAGAACAGTTGTCGTATGGTCGTCATAATGAAGTCAATCTCATTTTTTGTGGAACCGTCGGGACTCGAACAGGTCCACTTCCTGTGGGGCCGCTTCTGGAAGAAAGAGTTTATCATAAAGAGTCCCTCTTTCTGCATGAAGTTGGCCAGGTGCTGGCCCCTTGGGTTCCGTTGCCCTATTCCAAATTTTCCTACTTTCAGCTCACCGTTCTCTCTTGTTCCTAGTTTTGCATTGAAGTCTCCCATTAACACCGTATATTGGGTTTTGGAGGAATGCATGGCTCTAGAAATATCCTCATACATTTCTTCCACCTCTTCATCGGGTAGTGCCGAGGTTGGTGCGTAAAGCTGTATGACCTTCAGCGAATACCGTTTGGTGATTCTGAGTATAAGGTACGCAATCCTCGTCGACACACTCTCAATCTTTACAACGTTGTTAACGAGAGAATGGTAGACGATAAATGCGATACCTCCTTTGGACAGATGGGCGCCCTCCCGGTGATAGAGCAAGTTTCCGGATTCGAGGATTACCGTGTCCTCCCCCTATCTTCGGACCTCGGATAATCCTATAATATGCCAGCGTAACTTGTCTATCTCTTCTTCCAGCTCCACGATCTTCTCGTCAGTCCTCAGGGTGCGTGCGTTGTATGTTACCAGGTTGAGTTGTCTTAGGTGGCAACCGAACCTCCACTGGATATTTTTAGCACCCCCTGCCCCGTCTTTACCATGGTCTCCAACGTAGCCAGGAATAGCGGAGCCGCCGGGGACTGGGGGCCATCTCTTTGTTGTTCTAATCATTGGGGGGTATTTGCTATAGTTGCCACACTTGGCGAGCGGTTTGGCAACTGCAGTTTTTTTATTGTAATTTCGGCTACAATCAGGAAGATGCTGCTGCCCATCTCCTGCCTGTTTCCCTTTGTCGCCTTTTACGACACCCACGGGAAGATATGGGGTAGTGGATATTCTTAACCGCCACTACACGGCAACTGACTT